CATTTTTATTACTAAGTTATAAGGATTAACTCTGACAAATTATGCTGCTGTCATTTTATACATTTGTATTTTATCACAGCACTTACATTTAGGAAAAGAAATAACTGAAGAACATGTGATAAGAAATCTCTGTGCAATAACGTAAAGAAAGATAACACTGTTTTGATGTTACTGATACCATTTTATTCACACAATGGTTTTGGTTTTATGTTTTTTCCTGCATTTCAAAATTGTGATATGTTAAAAGCTGCTTTATTTTATTATAACTTTTTTCTTTTTGCATATTATAGTGTCATAGACAGTGTGAGCAAGGTGATTCCATGGGTGTGATTTCTGATGTCTGATGTGTAGAGAATGTTGCATGAGTTGGGTCTTTTATTATAAATGACCATGTCTTGCCATTCACAGCCGGTTCTGTGAAGATGTTTTTATAAAGTATCTATAAATGAGACATTGTAGACAGTGTGCGATGACATGTGTGGGTGACTTCACTGTGATTGTATCCCTTACTATTTTGTTAAAGAAATGCAGGTGTGTAACTGAGAAGTGACTTTCTGTGTGTCTTGGTTATGGCTGGATTCTTTGGAGGCTAAACTTAAGAATTTGTCATATACTAAACTTGTGATTAATTTAGCTATGCCAAAAAGTTTAACATTAATCATGGAACTCTGTCTGTTTCACCAGTCAGTCCACTCTCTCGTTCTTGGTGTAGCTGATGTATGGAATCCAACAGCTGCCACCCTACTGTCACCAGATGGGCCCTCAAGAGGTCTGCCTGACGCCATTTCATCCCGCTGTCTGAGACAGCTTCAATCTTACCATGGTGAAATTTAGTAATCTTGGCATTCTTTCACTTTTTTTTTTATTGTGCTTTGAAGTGTCAATCTTAACTTCATTTTAAAAATACATTTTCCTCATCTTTGTAAAACAGCAAGGATTATTTAAAGTAACATTGGAATAAAAAAATTAAGCCATACAATTTTCTTAGATGTTTTTGTGCTTTTTAAGAATCTGTTGCATCATATTTTTATTATACTCCACATATTTTTTTCCTTGATGTTTTTAGCACAATATACTCATTATTTAGTATATATCTAGGCAACAACACTTACAAGTTTATCAATGTCTAAAAAAAAAAAGGTTCCTGTGTACCGGTTTACATTTTGAATGAGTGGTAACCCAACATCTGCTGTGCTTATACCGTGACTGTCAGTATTTCCGTGACTTTACAGTAATACCATGTTGTTATTTACAGCATTCTGACACACTTTTATGTGGTAGGTTCTTTCTCAGGAACTCAGTTTATTATTTATTGATATATCATTGCCTTTGAAAAGCTTCTACTGGCACAATTTATTATTAAAATTTTGAATATAAACCCCTTGGTGTGTGTCATTGGAATGTGTGTGTTATTGGAATTTGTAAGTTCTTGCATTTATCAATGTCATATGAGACTGTTAAAATTAGTTTTTTGTATATCATTAGAGAAATGAAACTTTATACATACACAGCACAAGAAAATATGTGTATACTTTTTTGCCTCTTTTACACAAATGGGAGAGTTATGCATATTTTCCTGCATCTGTTTTCTTGGCAATTTAAACCAGCACATAAAGAAATTCTTCACCCTTTATTATTACTGTGTAATAGGCCACCATGAGGGTCTATTATAATAAGACCAGTCTTATATCAATGAACATTTCACTTTTTCTGGTCTTTTACTATTATAAACTGTGCTGGAATAAATAACCCCTTATAGCCATCATTTTGTGCACATGCAAGTAAATGTGTAGGATAGACTCCTAGTGGTGGAATTACTAGGTCAGAAGCTAAGTGTCTGTGTGATTTTTATTGCAAAGTAGTGCTAAGCATTAGTGGGAGGAATCTCCAGATTTTCTCCTACACTCCCTGCCAAGTGGCTTAGAATGTCCTTTACCTGTCTGTGTGGACCATTTCTCAAGGTCAAGTTTGCAGTGAGCAACTTTAGGGCTGAGGTAACGTGTCCTTCGAGGACAATAAAAACAAGCTTTCTAACTGCTTGCTATAAAAGCGGTAGCTCCCTGAGCCTCAGCAGAATCTATCTGGGCCTCCTATGCTTCCCTGGGTTCTTGAGGCCAGGAAGAGCTTATACAAGCATGCTGGTGCTCATGCAGCTTCATGTGTTGTGAATAACAAAGTCCTTTGTCTCTGACTCAGGTATCTCTTGTCTTAGTCCAGGATCCATGAAAGAGTAAATAGCTCACTTACTAGCTTGTAAGTAGGATAAAATCAAATCTTAGATCTGGCATTGTCTAAAAAATCTTACAACAGGTATTGTTCAATATGCATTCCCAATAGAAATATACAGATAGTTCACTTAGAGCCTTGCCAGCCACACCATGTACTAACCTTTATGATCTTTGTCCATTGACTAGATTTAAAGAAACAACACACACACACACACACACACACAAAACTTGGTGTATTTTTTACTTGACATTCTTCTTGTCTTGAAAGAAGTTGATATCCATTTGAATATCCTTAAAAATTATGATCCTAATTTTATGCATTAATTGAGTGGTGATGTCTAAGACCTTCCTCAGAGACCCCAGACAATTTCCATTCTCTTCTCACTCTTCATCTCTTCCTGCTCAGCTAACATGAATCATTTAATGGGGCTAGTGGCCAGACAACAGATTACAGAGAACAGACTTCTTCAGTGTTTAGACAGATTCCACAGGAGATGAATACTCTAGCATTCATGAATACTCTGCTCAGAGGGTTGCCAGGGCAGTCAGGCCTGATTTCACCACATTTATGGTCATTGTTGGATGTGATTGTAGTTTCCTTCTCCACACTTGCATGCTATGTGTTCCTTGATAAGTCAGTGCAAATCACAAAGAGAGAAACAGCCAGCATGGCAGGCTTCCCCAGAACCTCCTGTGATTTGAACCACTATTTAGTTAGAAAATTTTTTAATGGAGTTTACTTCTTCCAGATTTGACTTACAAACCAAGTTTAAAGCCCCAGTACTTAACTAATATTTTATCTCCTCTGGCAGAATTCAGCATAATCAAGATCATTGCCATTATGTGCATATTTATAAGCAATATCATTAAGCATTGTGTCCTTTTCCATCCATAAAAAATCATTTCCTTAGCAAGAGCATTTTCCATTTCCCAAAGAGGCAGCTTAAACTTAGTGGACAAAGCATGCTTATTCTCTGTAGCAAGGACGAAAAACCCAATGGTTATCAGACAGTGATGAAATGCATATTGCCTATGAGAGAAATGCCTGATGGCAACATTGTTCTTCTTTTGGAACTAACATCAAGATAGTGTTATATTTTATTTTATTTTATTGACAATTGGTCAAAAAGTCTATTTATTTGTTTGTAATCAGAACACTACAATCTGTTCAACACTGGGCTAGACTCTGCCATGATTAGGGGCAAGGAGGAAGGGGCAGGGCAATGCCTCGGCTCCATTATGAAAGTCCAAGGCAGAACCTTCTGGAAGACTCTTCCCTTACCCCGTGGGGCAGAAATAAAAACCACATAACCGTTGATTCAGGTTAGAGAGGGCACTGAGCTGGGCCTCAGCTCAAAGTCAATGTCAGCACAGAGTGGGGACCAGTCAGTGAGAGAGTGAAGTGGCCGAGGAAGGAGAAGTGGTTTTCCTATGCAGGCACACCTTCATCTTGAGAAACCCCTTCCCCCCACCACAAGGCCAGAGGAGCCCCTGGGCTGGGAGTTCCAAGGGAGGGAAGGATGCCAATCCAAGGCCCCCTTGCTTGGTTGTTCCACCTTCCCCCACTCAGACTGGTGCACTGTGGTGATGACATTGATTTTGAGCTGCAGCAATGCTGGGCATGACTCTGCCAACCCCCTTTACTCTGGAGGGCAGGGCAGGGAGCAAGCAGCTTTGGGGGATAGGGTGGAGGGAATGCCAGAAGCAAGTGATGTCCACATTTATGCTTCCTAGCACTGACAGCCTCTTCTGTCTGTTCCCAGTGGCTGAGGACCACAAGGCAAGCGATTGCCCCAGCCTCAAAGGCCAGGTCCTACTTGATCAAACACCACACTCAATTCTTCTTGTCTGCATCTGGTCAGGCCTCAGAACTGCATCTCACAGACTGGGGGATCGGAGGGGAGGGCCCTTGCGACCCTCATCAGCACCTGTCCTCAGCCCGGCTCCCTGCGGCAATTCAACTGAATGGCACATCCAGCATGTGATGGGTAGTTCCTCACTCTGAGACAGCAGGACTGCCATCGGAGTGGGAAACCTTTCCATTTTCTGACCATGCCAGGGAGCCAAGCCCCAGAGCTCTGTGCTTGGGTGAAAAGCCTCCCACCACTCGCCAGCCCCTCCTTGGGAAGTAGGGGCTGCTCCCGCCCCCCAGGCTTCTGAGGGCTGGTTCTTTACAAGGGTTTGGCATTCCCTTTATTTCACCCCTTTATTGTTCTGAGGCTCCTGTGTCTTTAGGGCCAAGTCTATCCATAACACTTGAGTTCCTCCCTCCCAGGAGTTAATGCCGGCTTGAAGGAAGGAGTTGGAAGGAACCGGCAGTGCAGGGGAAGAGGCCAGTGAGGACTGAGGACGTGCAGGAAAGGAAGCCCACTGCTGCCCCCTTACTCCCAGGGCAGCAGAAGCAAGTGACCACAATGAACACTGTGGCCAGCCTATGAGGCTGGTGCACGCACATGGGGGCCAGACCAGGGCAAGGGCAGAGATTTCCAGAGCAGGAAGGAGGGTTGGAAGAGCCTGTTGGAGACCGGGCATACCTGCCCCACGACACTCTAATCCTGAGCCCATGTAGACCTGGGCCTGCAGCTGGGGCAGGTGATGGGCCAGCTCCTCTGCAGGACACAGTTGAGGTCAAATGGCCAGGAAGGTGGGACCCAGAGGGCGCCAAGGGCTGGGACCTGTTGGAGGCTGCCCGGCTGGCATCACATGGCCCGGCTGTATTCAATGCCGCCTTTGGTGAAGATGTTCAACCATGGCAGGAAGCTTCAGAGCAGGCTGTGGGCCTGGTGCTAAATCCTGTGTGGGATGGAACAGGGGCTCAAGTTTGCTAGAGCAGAACCCAGGTGCTGGATGCAGTCCAAAATGGTCCAAGAAGGGTGGCCACCATTGATGTAGAAGATACAAGTGAAGCCATCTTTGAGGACCCCACGGATGGAATAGTAATAGGGGAGATAGTGGTGCTGCTTAAAGTCTCTGTTTCCGTAGAAGTTTATTGCTGTGTTGTTGGTGGTGAGGACATGCAGGTAGATGGCTTTGCAGTGGTCCTGGGCAGTGGTGGATATGTGATCCTTTAAACCAGTGGTTCTCAATCTTCCTAATGCCACGACCCTTTAATACAGTTCCTCATGTTGTGGTGACCCCAATATCATTTACAAATTGAACATAATTAAAGCATAGTGATTAATCGCAAAAACAATATGTAATTATATATGTGTTTTCTGATGGTCTTGGGCGACCCCTGTGAAAGGGTCTTTCGACCCCCAAAGGAGTCGCGACCCACGGGTTGAGAACCACTGTTTTAAACTCTCAAGTAAAAGAGAACCTATGCCGTGCTTTCTGAATTCCTTCGCTACTCCCAGACTTAGAATGTATGCAACTTGTGTGTCAACAGAGAAGTTGGGGGCTAGACTATCTCTATCCTCCTTGTGTATGTTGGTCCTACTTTTTATTTCAGCTATCATTCCTACAATGGTAGCCGCGTAGGCTGCAGCAAGTGAGGAGAACTTCTTGTTGGAGTGATGTCACAATACCATGAGTCTGGGCATTCGATGGGGAGCCAGTCGCCACACAGGTGCTTCATAGTGTCTGGGTCATCACGTCACACCTCCAGCGGGAGCCCGCACGCTGGCGCCTGTGGCGGCGGAGGGCGCCTGG